AACAACGAAGTTTTTAAAAACTTCCGACAAAACAATATGTTATGGAGAAAAATAAACTAAACAACATTTGTCTGGGCACTACATCCAAATTCTTTACCAAATTTGAATCAAAAATTAAATACAGAAAATAAACACTATGATAAAAATAAGAAAAAATAAAAAGAGAATTAAAATGAGTGAGTGTGTCAGCACCTTTTCGGCATCACTATCTTTGCCGATTTTTGAGTATTTTTTGGCATTGACAAATGCCCTGAAAATTTACAGATATGTAGTTTACATAATCAATAACTCATTAAAAAATTTTCAAAAAATAATAGAATTTGTCAGGCCCCGAAATAAAGTGAAAACAAAAAGTTAAAAGTGAGAAAAAAAAAAATAGTGAGTGGGCTAGCCGTTTTGACACCCCCATCTTTGACGATTTTCAATGTTTGTTTGGCTTAGCAGAATGGATTCAAAATTTATAGGCGTGTAGGTTACGTCATAGAGAACTCGTAGAAAACAATTCAGAAAAAAAAACATATTTTTAGGACCCGAAAACTTTTTTGGCGGGGGACGAACTTGGAGGTGTTCGGCCCCCGAACGCCCGAACGTTCGGGGGCCAGCCCGGGGGCCCCCGAACGTTCAGTCAGGTAACCCTATATATATATATACATATATATATATATATATATATATATATATATATATATATGCTATGACCTCGCTAGCTTTCTGCTACGGTTTTTTTCGGTCAGGTCGAGCGGCAGTGGTCGGGGTTGTTATTAGGTGCCCATGCTGTGCCTCTAGTGCCAACGGCGTGTCTGGAGTGTATTTTTTGGCTGTGACAGACCTTTTTTTGTTTCGTGGATGTTTTGCTGGCTTGTGATAGGGTGTGAACCGACAGTCTGTAGAGTTTTTCATCTGGTGTGGGTGAGTGATAGTCTACTTTGATTTTGGTTAAGGTAGATTATCATTTACAGTGTAATCGGTGAGGGGATTCTGCAGACTGTTGAGGATTTAGCCTCCTGATGAGTCGGTGAAACTCCGACGAAACAGTTTGTCACGGCCCCTCGTTTGTTGTCCTCTTCTCTCTCTATGCCTACGGTTTACCGGGCAGTTATGTTTGTGACGATATATATATATATATATATATATATATA